CTAAATAAATCAGCCAAACATGTTTTTATTTAAATGTGACCACAAAACCAGTCACATTGGTCAATTTTCTTAAATTGAGATTTTTTCTTCTTTATAAATAAGCTTTCAATGGATGTATGAATAGGAAAATATTTGGTCGAGATACAACTATTTGAAAATCTGGAATCTGTGGGTGCAAAAAAAATCGAAACATTGAGAAAATAGCCTTTAAAGTTGTCCATTTATGTTCGGAATTGTACTGCATCCACTCACAAAAATAAATGTCTTGTATATTAAAGTAGGAAAGTTACAAAATATCTTCATGGAACATGATCTTTACCTAATATCCTCATGATTTTTGGCATAAAAGAAAAATCGATAATTTTGACCCATACAATGTTGGCTATTGCCACAAATATACCTGTGCTACTTGTGAACGGTTTTGTGATCCAGGGTCACAAATGTAGTGTTTTGCAGATTTGTGATGGACAAATATCAATATCAAATAGCAAATATGATACTTAAAATATCACTAACCTGATAGTGATATACAATTCTTACTGAGTGTGTTACTGTGTTGTAAACACAGAGTGCTCATAATTAAAATGGCTTAAAAAAGCTTACTAAACAATGTTTTATTAAAAATGTAAAAATGCAGAAAGTTTTTCTGTGATAGGTTTAGGAGTAGGGTTAATGTAGGGAGATATAATATAAAGGCTATAGTATAAAAGCCATTACGCCTGCATGTAGGCTACTCATAATGATAGATGCACCAACGTGTGTGTGTGTGTGTTTCCATACACAGAATTCAGCTCATTTACCTGGATAGTACAAGAGATCAGTCAAGATCTCTCATACAAATTTTCTCAATTTTGACTGTTATGATGTATTGAGAGTTTTAGAGCTGACGTTAGACAGAGGGAGAGAAGATGAAGCAAGTCATGGACAGATTTGATTTATGTCAGTTCTGATCTGCTCAGTAACTCATCTGCTGACATTTCTCTCTCTCTCTCTCTCTCTCTCTCTCTCTCTCTCTCTCACTGTCTGTTTTTAGCTGTGCTGTTGAGAGAGGAGCTGCCCTCATTTATCAGACTGTCAATCCATTCTTCTGTTCCACGCTACTGCTCTGACACACTGACTAATGATGGCTTGCACTAAAGACACCTTGTTCTCAGCAACACACACACACACTCACACTCTCACACACACTATCTCTCTCTACTTTTCTTCTGAATCACACTGACAGACTGACTAATGATGTTTCAGACCAAAGACACCTTGCTGTCTCGCTTTCTCTCTCATTCATTTACTGCCCCATCTCACTATCTACCTTATCAAACATATAAATGATATTCAAATGGTATTGCATCCTTTCGGATCTCAAAGAATATGTCAACTATTCAAGAATATGTTTGGAAAAGCATAGGGCTTACTGCAAATTGACTTGTGCTGTAGGCTGAAACATTTAATAAATGTTTATTGTACAGTGAATTCTGATCTTATCAACACTATTGATTGTGTTTGTTTTCTCTCCTGATGTTCTTGCCCATTGAATATGTTTTTATTCAGAGAAATTCAAGAATATTTGGGACGGCACCATCAAGTGTTGTGTGTTATTTCCATCTAGTGGCCAACTTTGGTGTAACACCTTGTGCGTAAAAAATGAGGTAAAAATGGTGGTCACAGCATTCCATGCACGGTGTGAATTATTTTACGGAAACTGTACTCTGTCTCTGTCAACTGAAAAAAAAAAATATATTTCTGCTAATTAAATTTACTTCAAATTTTCGACAAAAAGTTTATACCATGGCCAAATAACCGTAACTGAGAATATTCCAGCTCCAGATTTTGAGAAAGATCAAAGGCTGATTAAGTCTCCTTTTTTTTCTTTCTTTTTTGTTTTGTTTGTTTAAGTTTAAGAGCGGCGCCCCTGACAAATCTCACGTTTAGTTTTTTTTTTTTTTTCGTTATGTTCAGCTGAACTCAGGTGTTGTGATGTGTATTTATCACGTGACGTTAGTCCCGTGTCTGGTTCGAATTTCTTATGGCGTGCGTACTGTGCTTATACAAACTTCGATTGTAACTTCACTTCAAATTGTGTTGATTATAAGTCAATTAAATCTTGACGCTGTTTATGTTGATTCCCGCAATTATCGTGAGGACATAATCAATATCTCACATAAATATTAGGACATACACTCACCGGCCACTTTATTAGGTAGGCCTACACCTGTCCAACTGCTCGTTAACACTTAATTTCTAAGCAGCCAATCACATGGCGGCAACTCAGTGCATTTAGGCATGTAGACATGGTCAAGACAATCTCCTGCAGTTCAAACCGAGCATCAGTATGGGGAAGAAAGGTGATTTGAGTGACTTTGAACGTGGCATGATTGTTGGTGCCAGAAGGGCTGGTCTGAGTATTTCAGAAACTGCTAATCTACTGGGATTTTCACGCACAACCATCTCTAGGGTTTACAGAGAATGGTCCGAAAAAGAAAAAAACATCCAGTGAGCGGCAGTTCTGTGGGCGGAAATGCCTTGTTGATGCCAGAGGTCAGAGGAGAATGGCCAGACTGGTTCGAGCTGATAGAAGGGCAACAGTGACTCGAATAACCACCCGTTACAACCAAGGTGGGCAGAAGAGCATCTCTGAACGCACAGTACGTCGAACTTTGAGGCAGATGGGCTACAGCAGCAGAAGACCACACCGGGTGCCACTCCTTTCAGCTAAGAACAGGAAACTGAGGCTACAATTTGCACAAGCTCATCGAAATTGGACAATTGAAGATTGGAAAAACGTTGCCTGGTCTGATGAGTCTCGATTTCTGCTGCGACATTCGGATGGTAGGGTCAGAATTTGGCGTCTACAACATGAAAGCATAGATCCATCCTGCCTTGTATCAACGGTTCAGGCTGGTGGTGGTGGTGTCATGGTGTGGGGAATATTTTCTTGGCACTCTTTGGGCCCCTTGGTACCAATTGAGCATCGTTGCAACGCCACAGCCTACCTGAGTATTGTTGCTGACCATGTCCATCCCTTTATGACCACAATGTACCCAACTTCTGATGGCTACTTTCAGCAGGATAATGCACCATGTCATAAAGCTGGAATCATCTCAGACTGGTTTCTTGAACATGACAATGAGTTCGCTGTACTCAAATGGCCTCCACAGTCACCAGATCTCAATCCAATAGAGCATCTTTGGGATGTGGTGGAACGGAAGATTCGCATCATGGATGTGCAGCCGACAAATCTGCGGCAACTGTGTGATGCCATCATGTCAATATGGACCAAACTCCCTGAGGAATGCTTCCAGCACCTTGTTGAATCTATGCCACGAAGAATTGAGGCAGTTCTGAAGGCAAAAGGGGGTCCAACCCGTTACTAGCATGGGGTACCTAATAAAGTGGCCGGTGAGTGTATATAAGCCTAGAGGTTGTATAGTGTAATTGAGCACAATTTGCTAACTATTATGATACATTTTAATAATCATGTCTAATGAAATCATAACGGCCAATGTTATGAAATAATGTGACATACATTTAACTTATTGATGTCATCTGACATTTTGTACTGTTTACATTACAATCAAAAACACAGATGAAATAATACAGTAGTCCTATAGGCTATTTATTGTGATTTAGCAGAAATCATGTAAAAATCATATACTGACCAATCTGCTGGCCGTTGCCGTATGACTGACCCCACTGTCCGTAAGGCAATAGGGCAGAGGAAAAACATGTTTCTGAAAGGTCAAGATCAGGGTAAAGGGCTCGGCTACCTGGAGCATTTGCATCTGCTGCATGGATCTCATATAAGCCCCCCCCAGTAACACTTCACAGTGTGGCCCTCAATGCAGGTCCCATTTACAGATACTGTGGCATGGGCAGCACCCTCATGAGAATTGAACCTGAAAAAACAAACTAAATGTTCATATACATGCATAGGTGAAGGATTTCAAGTCTTACAGTCAGTCTCTCCATAAAATGCGATCGCATGATTTCGTTTTTTTTTGGACCAAATTTTGGTAAGCCTTTCTCTGCAAGCATGTCAAAATATAAGATATAAAAAGGATCAGCAGCTCATTTGCATTTAAAGGGACAAAAACATTTTGTTCGCACTCAAAAAAGGGCCAAATTTGACAAATTATAATAAATGATATGAGCGTATTTTAAGGTGTTAAAACATCACCTCTTGAATTAAACCTTTTTAATACAGACTGTAATACTAAAAGATTCTTCAGAATTTAAACAAAATCACTTGGATTATGCGTTTATCTTTTTTTTTTTTTAAATTAAGCATTATTACCGTCTATTATTTTACAAAAAGTATTACTGTATATGGCTACTGAAACCCACCTTGCATAGAAAATTAATGCATCAGGCTCACAAAAGTGACAAAACTAAAAGTTCACTTTTATATTATAATTTTTCAATTTAAAGGGTTAGTTCACCCAAAAATGAAAATTCTGTCAGTATTTACTCACCTTCATGTTCCAACCTTCTATGTGTTTATTTTTTCTGCTGAACACAAAGGTAGATATTTGGAAGAATGTTTTCATCTAACAGATCTCAATCTCCATTGACTACCATAGTAGGAAAAAATACATACCATGGTAGTCAATGGAATGAGATCTGTTTGATTAAAACATTCTTCCAAATATCTTCCTTTGTGTTCAGCAGAACAAATAAACACATAGAGGGTTGGAACAACATGAAGGTGAGTAAATACTGACAGAATTTTCATTTTTGGGTGAACTAACCCTTTAATAAAAAAATAAAATTCCTGTTTTAAAAATATGACCAGAACACTTTTTCTTATAATTTAATGTATTTTGCTTGATGCATTTTCTCTCACTGTGTAAAAGCATCATAGCAGAAAAGGCCACATCTTACCCCACTCTCCCACAATCGATCGGTATTGGTCATCTTTCACCAAAAAGCATCATGAATTATCACATAAACGTAAAGCAATACTGGTAGATATTCATTCATTGAACACTCGAGACAACTGAAAGTAGTTTTGAATGGTTATTATTAAGTGTTTTTACACATGAAAGAGTAAATAGAACAACATTAGATGGAAGCATATAATCGGGGTGTTTTAAAAATAACAGTAAATCTCTCTAGCTTTTTACAAATTAAAAAAAAACCCAGTTAGAGAGAAAAAAAGTGACATTAAATAACTATGTTGATAAATTTACATGACAAAGAAGAAAAATTAAAGAAAAAAAAAAAGACAGTTGCTCATTTTCAATTTGTTTCAATCCGTTTTTAGCATGACTCAGTTTTAGGGCCCAGTAAGAAAAAAAGAAAGTGAATTATGGTAGGAGGAAAAACATCAGTGTCCGGTATATAATTAGGCTTTGTGAGCAACTCGAGCGTGTGGTTGAAACCTAGGAGCATCTCGCATTTCTTCACCTTTCCATATTACACCTCTCGAAAACACTGACATTACAATCCTCGTTTCAATACAGCAAAGTGGAAGCATGCAAGATCTCGCATCATTGTAGTCAATGTCTTTGGCTTGTGAATTCAACAGTGACTCTTGAGGGTGAAGGACAGGGAGGGAGCATTGAAAAAAAAATAAAAAAAAAATCATCATCTCAGCAACTCTAATGAACACCTTTTTATGGATTTCACAAGAGATTGTAACAAGAACAGAGCTCAGAATGTCCATGCAACATTATTACATTACAGATGTTCAACAAACCCTGAATTTACAAGATTTAAAGAAATAATTCACAACCTCATTTTACACAGAATTACAAAAATCTTTACAAAGATGCTACAGCACTGCCGTTCCCGCCGATTAGCCGCTGTGCCGTCATATCCTCAACTGATCCGAGCAAACATGATTTTGTAAAAACATGAAACAAAACGTTTTAAAAATTGAGCTAACAATTCCATGTTACAAAATGAATAAGTCTAACGCTTAAACTGAACAAAAAGGAAGCATGTTTTCTGCACCTCTGTGTTAATACAACTTGTTAAAAGCTTTAGTAATTGTGTCCAAAACTTTATCAAGAACTTCCTGAAACCTCAAATTATTCAAGGCCACGGAACAATGTCCTCTATATATGCAGAATACTTTTATCATTAGGCGTCACAAGATAAAATATTTTATATTTGATTAACAGGATCACACAACTCAATTCTTGAAACCTTTCTTGTAAAAATATAAACGCATAGCTGTACTGACAGAAAAAAAGAAAAAAGTATTCGTGAACAACTCAGGTTTAGAGACAAGAACTCCATAGAAAGAATGCAGTATATTAGACCTCAAACTTTCTACACCGTTTGAGGAGTGAGCTAAATTGAGCCTGCAGATTCAACACATTGAAAAGACATTCCATCTGTTGCAAAACTAGACAATTAAAGTCCCCGAAATGCAGTACTTTTAAGAAAAGAAAATCTGACAAAAAAAAAAAATAAAAAAATCCTGGGGCCTAAAAACAAAAGACAGGACTCCTTCCAAGTTAATGGTCTGAATATAATGTACAGTGGGCTGAATGCAGCCCTTTCAATAACCCCTGAACCGGTGTAATGGTGAGTCCCATTGGGCAGATGCCACACTGAAGTGGGGTTTAATGATTGGACTGAGGGATTAGTCAGCCACATTTGTACTTATTTATATCCCTGCTGATTCCAGGCCTGCCCGTAGACGCCGTAAGTGGGCATCTGCCAGCCGTTGGGCATATACTGACCCATCTGCTGACCGTTGCCGTATGACTGACCCCACTGTCCGTAAGGTTGGGCAGCATAGGTGGGTTTATTCTGCTGTGGACATGAAGAAACCGTAAGACTTGAGTTTACAGGAGTGTGCAATAGGGCAGAGGAAAAAACATGTTTCTGAAAGGTCAAGATCAGGGTAAAGGGGTACCTGGGGCATCTGCATCTGTTGCATGGATCTCATATCAGCCGTTTCTTTTCCCCAGTAGCACTTCACAGTGTGGCCCTCAATGCAGGTCCCATTTACAGACACTATGGCATGGGCGGCACCCTCATGAGAATCGAACCTGAAAAACCAACATGTTAAATTTTCATATATTTCAATTCTTATAGCCAGTCCCTCCAGAAAAACGCGATTATGCGATCGCATGATTTAGTGCATAATCAGCCAAAGTCCGCAATTTTTCAAATACGCCGGACTTTTGCTGATTTCCGTGCAAAATATGCAGGGCTTGCATGATTTCATAATCCTCGTATTTTTGTTGCAAAAAAGTTTGCTTCACAAGAGCAGCCATTTCCCCCTGTTGCCATGAGAACGTTATGAAGTGACGTAATTACGTGACGTGAACATCATCGAAAAGCTGTAAAACAGGAGCACACTATTTTTATTTTATTTATTCATTTTTACAGAAGTTGTAGCATATTACTTTTGTAAAGCTACAGAACTTGTTTGACTTTTTATTAAGGTCAGAAATAAAACAAGATGAGAAATATTCCCAGCACTTTCTCTGATGTAGTATGCTCATCATAGGAAGTAATAAGAAATGACTCTTTACATTAAGGTAGTAGCCTAGTGAGAAAAAGAGTCTAGTTTTTTCTCTTTTTCAAACCGCAGTTTCCACAAGTTTTATTGCATAAAATTGCACAAATCTGCTGGATATTCCATCGTATTTAAGAAAATGGGCCGCATAATCAAGGATTTTTGCCTGCAACAATCACAAAAAAACTGGAAGGACAGTATAGTAGTGACGCATACCTCACGAATGAGTAGCCTTTCTCTGGGAAAACTCTGATCTCCATTATCTGGCCGAACGGAGAGAAAGTCTGTCTCATCAGCTGATCTACAGTGGATGAGGGAAAAAAAACGATCAAAAAACAAAAAAAAACACTGACTGCATATAAGAGCTGCATTATATTGAAAGATTCATCTTTTAAGACCTTTTAATTAAATGCCACTTATTCATTCAATGAAACTGTGGCTTAAAGGATCACATAAAAAAAAAATAGCAATAATAATAATTTTCACAACACATGCTAATTTACAACATTTAGACATCTATACAAACCTGAAAGGCCAGTAGCAATGCCACCACAATACACGGTGCAGTTGCTAGGACTCGACTGGTTCAGAACCTCCTCATAAGACAAGTGTTTGCTGCTAGATGCTTTATAAAGTAAAGATAGAGAACATTTTAGAGTAGTAGAACAAAAATATGATCAAAAAAAAAAAAAGACTTACCATAAAACTTCAAATAATAGCCGAGTCCCAAATAGACGCCTGTCTCTTTTACACGCCTGGTGTGGCTACAAGTTTGGGTAAATCTCAAATAGAGGCCAGGTCTGTTTTTTAGTTTTGGGTTGCATTAATCTTCTAAAACCAACCAAATTTAGAGATTAGATACTCAAGTATAGGCCTACAAGTATTATCAATGAACAACAACACTAAAATATAAAGGCCTGTCTCATATAGACGTCTGTCACAAATGCAAGCCGATGCAGTTCAACGATTGGAAATATAAAAGCCTGGGCTATTATTTGAAGTTTTACAGTAGTTCCATAATCGGTGGTGAAGAAATAAGAAACTAAAACTGTCAAATGATAGCTTAAACTGATTTACCTTCATTGTTTGGTTTGGGAGCGGATGGTTTCCGTGTGGCCCAGTTTGTTCTGATCTGTCTTCCTCCCAGCCATTGGCCATTCATTTGCTGAATGGCACTTTCTGCATCCTATCAGTTGCAACAAAACCGATCAAACTTATCAATAACAAAAAAAACAAGACACAAATGTTACATTAATATTAACCTGTTGGAACAGAGAATGATTTTGGCACTTAACCTCTTGAACTGCACCCCACTCCACCGTTTGAGCCACCCCACAAAATGAAAACGACATACTTAAACTCAAATGGTTGTATTTCCTGAACCCTTTGGAGTCTGTGCATAGTTGTGGTATCTATTTTTTTCAAGTTAAAAAAAGTTAGAGAATCTGAAGAAGATTGGTATGGAGATGTCTTAATAATAATAATAAACATGGCTGCAACACCTAGAAACAATGGGCTAAAAGCCACAAGTCTTAAGTTATGTTTCAAATTTAAGCGTGATAACAAAATAAGGTGGTGCTTTAAAATTAGCTGACATATTATTAGCCAACTATACAAAGTATTTGTATGAAAAATTGCCACAATCCACATTTAAGCAGTATAGACATGATGCTTTTTGCCAAGTTTCATGAAACATTAGTAAACCACAGTAGATCAATACCTGCTCTAAATAGTGTCTTGAACGAGCCCAAACAAACATAAGACAATGCGTAGATCATGGTGTGACATGCCATACCGCTTGGCTTAAATTATAGGACTTCCGGGATCTGATTGCGTTGCGATCATGACAGTGTTTTCCAACGTCATTTGTAAGTTCAACCAATGGAAACTGGATCCTGGGTAAGGTGGGTGGGTATTGTTGGTAAGGATGATGTGTATAGAGTAATCGGTCCCTGTTTTACAGCTGGAATGCACTTGGATTGGTTTTTTGAATTTTTCTTCATGTCTGTGCTGCACGTTTTGTGCATGAGCTGGACGCGCCTTAACTACTTAAACGATGACCTTGCATAATTGACCATTGATTAGAATTTAATTTATAAATCTTATCGATCGTTGATCAATTGTTAGAATCCCTGCTCCATTATATAAACATGCTACATAAACAGATGCTAAATGGCGACCGATTCAGACAGCAATCGACCTCCAAAAACAATCTATTGTCTCCATTCATACACAAATTGCATGCCATTGATGGCATGTCATTCAGGCAGCAGAAAGAATTCAGTCTCCAAAAAGTATTTAGTCTCAATAGACATTCAACGGGTGTTTGTATTCGCCCACATAGAAAAATCACCATTGGTATGATTTCACTAACTTTCTCATGAGGCGAAAAAACTGAGTGACATGGATCCAAAACAGCAATGATAGCCTGACCTGAATGCGGCAGAAAAACAATGAATCACAGGTGCGCGTCATTCGATAGCTCGCAGATGAATATGGTCAAGACAGCCGTCCATAATTATCAAACTTCCATCTTCACACACGGAAGATATACATGTTGAAATAGTCTTCGCATTTGATAAATGTCCATCAAGATTTTTACCACAAAGACAGTGGATGGCTGATTTGAGTAAATGACTGGCTATTCCTCTAAAAGATGTCACAAAATCTAATGGCCTTGGATTGATATTGAGTAAAACTACCAAAAATAAAATTAAAAATAAATTAAAAAAAGGCAGGATCACTTGTTTGTAGTGTCATGTATACTATAATAGTAGTACTTTCATAAAGTTTTACAACAAAAGCTGTATGTAAATAATGTTATGTAATTTTTTTACAGATTGAATGTTTTTGCAGGAAAAAAAGTGCTGTTGGATGTTTTCCATTGGACTCTAGTCATGGACAGTTAACCCAAGTGCGACAAACACGATTTATCTCACAGCAGCGATTTCATCACAGGTATGAAATCGTGTTTTGATTTTCTATGTTGTCATTTGTACTCCCAACACAAATGACTATATTACTGTCGCTGGAGCATCTATATCATAAAACAGACACTGTGTATTGACACTAAACCCCCAGACCTTACAAATGATGTATAATTTTTAGTCTATATAGTAAATGTAAAGAAAAAAAAACAAAGAGACGTCAAGCCCGCAGTCAGGCTGGTGTACTTAAACAGGTTAATGGATAATGTGAAAACGTACCCATTTATTAATGAAGGAGATGAAACCATATCCTTTAGATTTGCCTGTGGCCAGGTCCTTCACCACACGGGCATCACTGCACCAAAAATAAACAATCCAAAAGTTAAGACAATCCAGCTCTAATGAGTTTTAAATAACACCTGATTTACACAATACAATATTCTCCTTACGATATCTTTCCAAATGGTGCAAAGGCTGCTCTGACATCATCTGTTGAGATTTCTGGGCTCAGGTCACCGACAAAGACATGGAAATGATCTACAATAATGGTTCGAGGGGAAACAGTTAAACAAAGATAAATAATTCATGCTTTACAGTTTGACCACACATGGATCCATTAATAATATTCAAAAGTCAAATTAAAACCCATCTCATAAGGAGGACACTTACTGCTTGTGTCTTTCTTCTGGCTGCTTGGCATTGAGGCCCAGTTAACTTTCATATCCTATGAAAGAAAGCAGAATAGAGACCGGGAAGAGTGAGACAAACATTAGCATAACATCACCTTCATCTTACTTAGCCACATAATATGGTGTGCCTCCAAACGCAGAAGAAATCAATCTGACAAAAAATAAAAACCCTGGTGATCACTTAAGCTCAAATAAAAAGGAAATATTTTTAAAACGCTTGAATTATTAGACGCTTGTCTAAATAGCAAAAGACTTACAGAGTGAGATCAACTTAAATTACTTCTCAAAATGTCATCCATTACCTGATGAAATATTTGCACTGAATATATTTTTGCCAATAATTTGCTAAATTTGAAGGCCTGGTACAGGTGTAGATGATTATAAAGCAAGGCTAGACTGTGTTAACAGACATGGAACAAAAATTAAAATGGGTCAACCTGCATGCATCCAAAGGATGACTCAAAGAATCAGAGGATGTGCCATGTTCTTCTCACATGCTTTATGAAGTTTGGAACATGACAGAGTAATGAGAGTAAACTCTACATTGGAAAAATTAAGGGTTTTGGTTTGTTGCAAGGACTTTCTGGGAAAATATTTTGCTTATAAATACCAATACAGCCATAATATTATCTTAGTAAACAGCATTACCATTGCTTTGACACCACATTTAAGAGGTGAAGCTTCATTTCAAACCACATCAAGCTTACTTTTGTTGGTGTATGAGAGATATATTCTTACCTTGCCTAAGATCTTCCTGCCGTTCATGGCAGCCAGAGCTGCTGCAGCGTGTCTGTTCTCATAGAACTCCACAAAGCAGTATGGGTCATTGCCGGCCGTCTAAAAAGAAAGACCAATTGAACCAAGTCAAACACTGATTTTAGGGAGTTACAGGTTTCTAAAGTAACCCCTCTTTTTGATCAGTGAATTTCCATGACCTAGCCAGCTACCACATTTTTTTGAAAATCATTCTGATGCAGATCAATCCACTGTTCATCCATCAAATCGTATTGACCATTTTGTGAACTGATTCATCAATTCAAAAAGAACAACTAAAGAGTAACAGCTAGACCTGAACATAAAAAAGTGTATCACTAGAAATGCCCATAGAGTCTACTAACTTGAATTACTTTAACAGGCATGAAAAGCACAATTTAAAAAAATATATTTCCCAGTTTCCCATGACAGTGGGATCCCTGGATTTCAGATGTTCTTTTAACTCACATCAATGATCATTTTACAGCTTTTGCAGGGTCCGATCTGGGAGAACACTTGCAGGATGAGGGCCTCCGTCACGTCCCTGGAGAGGTTCCCGACATACCTAAAAACACAGGAGAGCAAAGCCAACTGAGAAACACGGTCACTGCGTTGCGTTTTTCCTCCATCTCTCACGCCAACAGCGCATTCCGCGGGGTTTCATTTCTGCCACGTTTTCAGCGCACGAGAGCAAACAGCTAATGTGATCCTAAAGCTCTATATGTGCTAGAAACGACGCCTAACAAACATGCTGTCTTTCTGATGCCATATTTTACATCAAATAAAAGCACGATAAAGGCCCTGTTGGGGGGTATAATTACATTTAGGCGCTTTTTTAGTAGTTAGCTCTTTGGGTAACGGAAACCTAGCGCTACCTACGGAACTTGTATGCTAGCAAAAGCCTCTTCTGCACTATAATTACTCATAATGCGGACAGATTAGTTCAGCCATTTGGATATAACAGGACAAATTAAAACAGCGTTGAGACGAACAGTATAATGTCCGAGACCTCTGCTGCTAGGCTCGGTTCCGCTGCCCCAGTTTTGTGTTTGTCTAGCCGGCTTCTGCTGCAGGCGCTGAAAGCATGGACGTCCATATAACAATTAATATATAATATAACACTGAGTAATCAACGGACTCATGCTCTTGAGCTCATAATGTGAAGTTTGGCTCGCTGTGCTTACGACCTGTGAGCCGCTTTAATAAACGTGTTTAAACACGAGTTTGGCTTCGCAAAGCGGCCGACTAAACTACAGCAGCACTCACAATGTCCTGGGCTGATCCTCGTCCATCATCATCATCGTGCTGGTGGGAAAAGGTTGACTCTTTGATTAAAAACTGCTCTGTTTTTTAACGTTGGAGTGGATAAAGCCTCTAAGGTTTTAACTTGTTAGTTAACGCGAATTTACTGGAATAACTTCCTCTGACGTTACTCATAAAACGTCATCACATGACGTTGCAAGCGTTCCTCTTCAGCGTCTGCTGTTTTTGGAGAAATAGACCGATTACTGCCCCCTATCAGATCATGCTCTGACCCTGGTGCCTCAATTCCGCGAATCGACTCTTTTGATTCAGTGAATCGTTTGCATCACATCGAGGCATTGCATGGTCAAACGTCCCAGTAAAGGCAAAGCATTATAAAGCGTTATAAAGTAAATCTATTAATTTGTATTTATAAAGGCATTTATTGTGATTTCATCTGTCCCAATTTAATTTGTTCCAGGGGGGAATCTGCTTACAAAAAATTTGGTAATTTAGAAAATCTGCTTAATTTTCATACTTTATTTGCATTTACATTAACTCATACTATAACTCATATATCTCTGAAATAGTGCACTATTATGTGTTGTTAGCTTCAAAGCAATGCTTTCTAGAATATACAAATTTAAAAGAGTGTCACCAGAATGAATGTGGGTAACAATAAACCATTTTGTGTGAAATAGCAGAGGTAATTACAGATTTTCGTAAGTCGGATTTGGTGACCCGCCTCTGCATCGCTTACTTTTCACATAAAAGTGATGCTTTCTAAAATATAAGATAGAGGGTGAGCCCATAGACTATAAAATAGGGGTAAGACCTAAGGGTAAGTCCAAAGACATTCAAGGATACAGCTAGGTTGAACAGCGACTGTCTCCAAGTCAACCGATTCATTGAAAAGATCCGACTCAAAAGCACGATTTGAATCACGAATCGTACGTCCATAGCTGACACATATCCAGCCCTTTTTGTTTTTAATTTCATGCCTTTTGCATTTAGCTAGAAAAAACTTGTAATAGCCATATCCACTGAGTACTTTTTTAACATAACTGTACACCACTAAACACTCATGCAAACTAACGTTATATGCCTGAAGTTTCTCTCACTGTTCATTAAATACACAAAACTCTGTAAATGTGTTATGTGGCTGCGGTGTAGTCTTTAATTTCACCAAGCCAAGAAACAAATAATTGTATCAAATCTTCCTAAAGTGCAATTTAGGAGCATGTGAACTGAAGCAGATTTGACCAAAACTGACCACGTTGGTCCAATCAAACGGACGTTGGCTGGCACCGGCTGAGAGAGGCGTGTTCAGAATCAGATCTCCTGTCTTGATGCCGCCCTGCAGTGAAGATGGCGGAGAGAAGAGACGGCTGTCTGAAGCCTACTAACAGAGAAAGCCTTTGAGTGCATGCGGTCTGTAGAGCATTTGTGTAGTTAGGTGAGTAAAAGAGAAGAGTGTGTCGAAAACTCTCTGATATTTATTCCTGTCGACATTTAGCAGAGTCACGCTAAGGTTTGAGTGCCGCACACGGCTCTTTTCAATGGCTAACACACGGATCAACTAATCGAAGCATAGATCGGTTTCTGCAAAGCAAAACAAAAAGCGCGCTAGTAACGTTAATTGTTTTATGACGAGAAGATTCGACACTAAAATGCTGGGTTTTTTGGTATCTGCTGTGTAAAATGTAACCATATCGCTTTTACTTGCTCATAGCCGACCAATTAGCAAAGGCCTTAGGCTTGTGGTTCATTATAACAGCTTTCAAATACAGTGTTTACTTGCCGAGCCTTTTGTTTAGCAACAAAACTCCATTATTTTCATCGCGACATACAAATGCACATTTAGTCGGTTGTGTTAATACGGTCTGTGGCATACGACATCATAAGCGTATGGGTAACGTTAATTAAATATGCATATGAGAAGTTTAGCCATCTAGAAGTTTTTATGGTGCTCTTTGAATTTCTCCTGATGTTTCTTTTTTTCCCTTTCTTTCAGCACTGACAGAAGATCTGGCTTTCCATGATGGACAGAGTTTAGATGTGGTGATCTTTTAAGCTGAATGCATTGTGATTTCCAATAATTGAGACAGTGATTTCTAAAAAGCTGTCTACATTAATGAAAAGAACAATGTAGTCAGCTTAGCATATTCAACCATTCACATGAATATTATTAAATAGGTGTCTTGAGTTGTGTAATGTGTTCATGCATGTGTTAGGGCTTTTTAGCTGAATTAGACAGTTCCCTTCCCAATTGCTTTCTCGTATAATTTTTAACATAGCTTTTTTTTAAAGAAATTTAACATGGATCTGAATGAGATTTTACCTCCCCTCCCATTGGAGCCACCAGACGCAGTATTTGCGGGGAATGATTACTGTATAGCACCTCCACCACCTCCCCTGCAAACGTCCAGTGACGCAGAGGAAATGGACGTTAGCTCTGGTGGTGATGGACACCAACACACCCCAGCAGTGGACAGGGATGAACAGCTTCTCCTCAACAAGCGCACATTGTCCGTTAGTAGCTGCCTGTCAGATAATTCTGAGCCCATGGCTAAGTGCCCTCGAACCGCTCGCCACGCTCCCCCAGTTACCAAGTTCTTACCTGATCTAAAACTCCTCAAAGATGTCAAGATTAGTGTCAATTTCTCTGACAGCAGCAAGATCAAAGACAGGAAGGTGTTGTATACTGGTTTGGGGCAGGTTAGGAATGAAGATCAGGGCCTAAATGGCGAATTGCATGATTCTTTAAAGCAGAGAAGTGTTCCGGGCAGCTCGAACATGAGCTTGGGTTTAGCTAGAAACTGCAAAGAGCTGGAGATAGAGCAGGAGAACAAGGTTGAGTTTGCCGTGCTGGACGACCTGGAAGATTTCAGCGAGAACTTTGTGGAAGCAGAAGACGGAGAGCAGAGTGGTTTCAGGTCTCAGATGATAGCTCAGCAGGAGCACGCGCAAGAAGAGGACCTGAATTACTGCTATGAGGTAAAATGCATGGTCTTCACTTTCTGTTCAAATTGAAAAATTACATTATAATGTAGGTTAATTATTGTCATCTAAACCTCTGAATGCCCATCATTCAAAACGTCTACTGAAATGTGTATTTACCACAAATAGAGCACGTGTCTTTCATTCATCAAGATGGATCCTGGAGTGTAACAAGGTGGTCCATCTGAAGAACATTTGAATTACAGCTCCCAAAGTGGGCTTGATTCAAATCTGCTTCTCAGCGTATGTTTATATGATGACATGTCATTGGCTGCCAGTGTCTTACCCACCTACTCTTCCAGGAGGACTTTGACAATGATGTAGATGCCCTGCTGGAGGAAGGCATGCCCATGCCCAAGAAGAGGCGTCTGGCTGAAGACAAGTTCGCTGGAGACAGTGATCACCATTCGGATGGGGAGTCCGGAGTTCAGCCCATGATGACCAAAATTAAGACCGTTCTTAAGAGTGAGCCCTCTAGTCATAAATGCAGTTGCTACTTTAAAATGTTAGACTGCATTACTTTAAAATGTCTTAAGGGATAGTTCATCCAAAAATGAAAACTCTTGTTTAATTTTAATTTTTGGGTGAACCTCTATCTTTATATAAATACCCAAAGGTGATGGCTCTTTTCAAACTCATGTATATTATAGTTTTCTGTACTTTTATTCTCTTTGAGAATTTAGTTTTTCAGTTTAAATTAAGCTCATTGTGTGTTTTTATTTATATAAGGTCTGTCAGTTAAACGCGTATTTAACAGCGTCAATTTTTTTTATCACACGATTAAAAGTCTTTTTGGCCTTGCACACTTTGTGGTTTTTCACATGGTTTTGCAACAGGATGTGGCACATACAGGATTTTGTGTTGCTTCGTCTGCCAAAGCGCAAGTGTGGATCTAGCTAGACCGAGGTGTTGTGCCTAATTTCGACCGCCTGCCAAATTATTACCCCCTCGTTGAAGTCAGTTTCTGATTGCCTAATCCTAACCCCAGCCCTAATCCTAACCACAGCTAATCCTAAACCTACCAATACTAGGGGAGTAATAATTTGGCAGGGGGTCGAAATTCGGAACAAAACAGGCACACTTGTTTGGGCTTGCGAGCCCGCCAAATAGTAGGTTAATGTTAAGTTTGGAGTGGATGGATAGTGCGAGATGGCGAAATGGATATTAGTAAATTCTGAATGGAAAGTTTATTTTTAAAAAGTTAATATCGTCAATATCAGGACCTCGTCAGTATTTCTTTCACCCTTTTATTGATGGACAGTGATTGTGTGAGAGATTATTTGTTCCAAGTGAGAATCTTAGTGTGAAATTGAACACAGTAAATGCCAATGTTGTTTTCAATAAAAAACATTTGCACAAAGCAAGCCGATCCATTTTTCCATGTTGATGAGCATTGAAATTTGAAAAAATAATGGGACAAAAAGAAATTTAGAATAGATAAAAATGTGTTAATCGCGAGTTAGCTATGACAGTGCGATTAATCGTGATTTGAATATTTTAATCGTTGACAGCGCATACATTAATACATTTTCTCATTATCATTCAGTTAGCTGCATACTGTTAAAGTTTTGGGTTGGTAAAAATTCTTTCATGCTCACCAAAATAGCATTTATTTGAATACAGTAAAACTGTAATTTAAAAAGAAAATATTACAATTTAAAATAACCATTCTCTTTTCATATATTTTGAAATGTAATTTATTCCTGTGGCAGCAAAAGCTGAAATTTCTTTTCAAAGCTTAAAAACAGGTTAATATTTTGTGGAAACTGATAAATATTTTTCACTTCAGGATTCTTTGGCTCAAAATATCAGCATTTATTTAAAATGGAAATCATTTGTAACAATGTAAAAGTATTTTCGGTTACTTTTAAACAATTTAATGCATTAGTGCTGAGTAAGGATATTAATTTAATTAAAAAAAAATTGTAGTGTATATTCTGTACCAGACTAAAAGTAAATTATCATGTTTTTTTAAATTCAATTTTGGCATTGTGAAAATAAATGAGTTTTTCAATTATACTGTTTAATGTTGTTTTAGTTAACAAATGCTTATTTTAGTTTTTGTGAGTGACTTAATGATAATTCAGAACAGATACTTGCATAGGACTCTGTGACTCTAGTTTGTCATCATTGATTGACATTTAATATTATTATTTTTATTATTTATTTTTATTGCTTTTTTTTTTAAGGTCGTGGGCGTCCGCCAACTGAGCCGTTACCCGATGGGTGGATCATGACATTCCATAACTCTGGCATTCCAGTCTACCTCCACCGGGAAACCAGAGTTGTGACCTGGTCCAGACCATACTTCCTTGGAACAGGAAGCATTAGAGTAAATGTTTTAAGTCATCTAAGATAAGACTTTCATGATAGTATGTCTTGGTGCATCATTTCTGCTTACAATTGAATTGATCTTTATGTTCTAATGCACCTCATTTCTGTATTCGACTCATTTCCCCCTAGAAACATGACCCACCAACCAGTAGCATTCCCTGCTTGCACTACAAGAAAATGAAGGAACATGAAGATAGGGAACAGAATGGAGAGGTGACTCCGACAGCAGAGGTGTCTCCTGCCAAATCTGGAGAGGAGGGCGTCTCATCAGAGAGAGCTGATGAGCCTGACTCCACTGCCACAGAAGAGCTGACTGACAGACCAACATTAGAAGATCCAGATCCTGACATCATGGAACCAGGAGGATCCTCCGAGGGAAAGGAGAGCCAAGCCTGTGATACTGCACAGGGAGCGCTGGGCCAGGTCAGAGCCAAGGTGGAGGTTTGCAAAGATGAGTCTATTGGTAAGAGAATTAGGTTTTATTCTCTCTTGTGCATCATTATTCAATATACACATGGTTTGTGAATAATAATCTTCTTGTGACTTGCATTCCAGAAATTGAAGAGTTTAGAAGCTACCTAGAGAAGTGCTTTGATTTTGAGCAAGTGACAGTGAAGAAGTTTCGCACATGGGCCGAGCGCAGACAGTTCAACAGGGACATGAAGAGGAAGCAGGCTGAGTCTGAGAGGCCCATCCTACCGGCCAATCAGAAACTCATCACACTGTCGGTACAAGACGCACCCACAAAGAAAGGTACCTGTCTGAGAGTCTGTACATATATGAAGTGTATAGCACAGAACGTGGTGTTTTGACAAGACTGACCATGTTTATATTTCAGAGTTTGTAATCAACCCCAATGGGAAGTCAGAAGTGTGCATTTTACATGAGTATATGCAAAGAGTACTCAAAGTGCGACCAGTTTACAACTTTTTTGAATGTGGTAAGTAGAATAATGCATAAGACTAAAAGAAAGCCAGTAATAAGCTGTTAAAGGGTTAGTTCACCCAAAAATGAAAATTCTGTCAGTATTTACTCACCCTCATGTTGTTTCAACCCCATAAGACCTTCGTTCATCTTCGGAACACAAATTAAGATATTTAAGATATTAAGATCGCTCCTGCATACAGTCCATAGGCTTCTTGAGGAACTGGCTCTTGCTGTCCTCAAAGTCATTAAAGACATCGTTAAAATAGTCCAAGTGACTACAGGGGCTCAATCTTAAGTTTATCAAACGACGAGAACACTTTTGTGCGCAAAAAAACAACAAAAATAACGACTTTATTTCAACTATCACTTCCTTCTCCATGAGCCTGTAAGTCAGTTAACGTAGTGTGATTGCGTAGAGCTACGTCACACGTAGGCTCACTATTGGCCGACGCTGATCATGTGTGTGTGATGCGTGTGACGTACAATAACAGAAGCTTACGCTATTAAACTAGTAACCTGACTCGCGCAGAGGGAGAAATAAACGAATAGTTGAAATAAAGTCGTTATTTTTGTTGTTTTTTTGCGCACAAAAGTGTTCTCGTCGTTTGATAAACTTAAGATTGAGCCCCTGTAGTCACTTGGACTATTTTAACGATGTCTTTAATGACTTTTCGAGGACAGCAAGAGCCAGTCCCTCAAGAAGCCTATGGACTGTATCCAGGAGCGATCTTAATATCTTAAATATCTTAATTTGTGTTCCGAAGATGAACGAAGGTCTTACGGGGTTGGAACAACATGAGGGTGAGTAAATACTGACAGAATTTTCATTTTTGGGTGAACTAACCCTTTAATATTATTAGTGTGTCACATCTGCAGTATAATTTGCATTTTGCAGTTATGCTAATGAACTGTCACTTGGCAGAAAGGGTTGTGGTTTTATTGCAATTGATTATTTCAATGCTGTTGTAAAAGCAATAAGCCATGCCGAACAGTTGAAAAGATTTTGGGCTTGATGTTGTGCCAATTTCCTCTAATCATGGTGAGATTGCTGTAATATATGGTCTATTGAGGTATAATCTTTTTTTAAATGAAACATAAAGGCCTTAATGTAACATTTTGTTTGCACAGAAAACCCAAGTGAACCCTTCGGAGCCTCAGTCATTATAGATGGTGTTACTTATGGCACAGGAACAGCAAGTAGTAAAAAACTTGCCAAGAATAAAGCTGGTACCTTCTCCCCTCTCTTCATTTAAATCTTTTGCAAAAATATATATTTGTATGAATAGATTACTATAAACATTTATTTGACGAGAACAGTAATTATTCATACTGTTGTTCTCTTTTGGACAGCTCGAGCAACACTGGAGATTCTCATTCCTGATTTTGTGAAGCAGACGTCAGAGGAGAAGCCCGCGGAGGGAGATGAACTGGAGGTATTGCTCTTCTTTCTGAATGAAGACATTTGATCTTTGGTCTTTTCTTTGTGGTACTTAAGGTTGTTTATTTCCTTCTCCCATCTCACAGTATTTTAATCATATTAGTATTGAAGATTCAAGGGTGTACGAGCTGACAAACAAAGCAGGTTTACTCTCACCATATCAGATCCTTCATGAGTGCCTTAAGAGGTATGTTATGATGTAGTTTAAACAACCAGACAGTCTGTGGGTGCTTATTATTATCATCATGTCTGTTTGAAAAGCATCTGAAGATCTGTTGCTTTCTGTTCCATAGAAACCATGGCATGGGTGACACCAGCATCAAGTTCGAGGTGATTCCAGGAAAGAACCAGAAGAGTGAATACGTCATGACATGTGGGAAGCACACTGTGCGCGGCTGGTGTGAGTATCCATGCTTAAAATAAAAAAAAACCTTTTATTTTAACAACTCCGTACAATTGTGAGTAAATCACTCGCATATGCGCCCAAAACCTCACACTAGGTGACTCATTTGAAATATTCTTTTTGTCTATTTTAGTTTACAAATTAACTTAGCCAATGGCTAGTAAATTGCATGATTGCAGTCGCCTGTGATTTGAGTTAAAGGCAAAAGATAAGATTTCTCGGGTTTATTTTAACGTGCAAACAGCAGAACAGATGAACAACAGAACCCAGATTCACATCAAATTTTCATGCAATTGACAGTGGCAACAGAAAAACAGAATAAAATAATATAAAAAAAAATATATACAATAGGTATACACTTTTTTTATTACTTAAATTGACAAATTAAATTGACAAAATAAATCACTGAATCTGTGAAAAAAAAATGTGATCAACACATTGTTGAGTTTTTATTTTAAAAAAGTAACATCATGTCTGTGGGGTTAGTATGGAGTGCACAGCCTGTTGAGTTTGACCCGTGACCGAAAACACATGATTTGAGATAACGTCTCGCCAGAGTGCATCTTCGGGAAGCGACTTTCATTTGCCATCATTTGGAGGTTTGCTTCGCAAATGATATTGCATTGTACTTGTTACTGCTGCTGTATTTTAATACCATGTAGCATATTTTTCATACTAATTTCCTTGGCCCTTGCTGCCGAAATGGTCCCGCACAGTACTTATCGCTCGCTTTTTTTGTCCTTTTTTATTACAGACTGTTTACCTGTCTTTAATAGTGTTTGAAATTTATGTTTTATTAATTTTGAATCTTTGCATTGTTCTTGCATTCCATGTAAAAATTTTTACTAGGCAATGGCGACTCAAACTTCAGTGTATCCGTATAGGTTTGTTTAAAGCACGCAAGTAAAAACCTGTTTCACACTGCTAGACTTTTGCAATAAGTGTTGTTCCAACCCTGCAGGTTATTCACATGCCACATAGCTAATACTGTTAACTCTTGTTTACTGCAGGTAAAAATAAGAGGGTTGGAAAACAGCTGGCGTCACAGAAGATTCTCCAGATGCTTCATCCTCACGTCAAGAACTGGGGCTCACTGCTGCGCATGTATGGCAGAGAAAGCAACAAGATGGTAAAAAAGGTCAGCACTGTCTTTATCAAATCATACTCTGCATATGTGTTTAGAAGGGGAAATCTTTTGTTTTTATGTGGTTGTAATGTTGAATTCTCGTCGTCTTCAGGAGAACTCAGATAAGAGTGTGATTGAGCTTCAGCAGTATGCCAAAAAGAACAAGCCAAACCTCCACATCCTCAACAAACTACGAGAGGAGATGATGAAACTGGCTCAAGAAAGGGTATATCCAGCCACTCCCAGCCAAATATTGGACACTTTGGATAAATGAACTCCTCTTTGGACGAGTTGATCCATTGCAGTCGACCAAAAATAAATTCTGTAAAGTGACAGCTAAACAGCTTTTCTAGTGCGTACTAATTTGTCTTTTTCTATTCGTTTCAGGAGGTGGCAAGAAAGAAGCCGAAGATGACTATAATGGAGTCTGCTCAACCTGGCAGTGAACCTTTGTGTACTGTTGACGTCTAGCAAACCCTCATCCAGCAACTTGTGATAGCAGATAGCACTGACCAATGGTAATAGTTCTATAACAAAAGGTCATCGCAGCGTTACTGACTTATGCATTACTTTGCTGTGCAAAATGGCAATACTAGTTACATTTCTATCAGATTTTTGAGCTCTATTCCCAGTCCAATTATTGCCCATAACGAATGGGTTCATTTAGAGTTGTATACATGCACAGGGAAGGTAGAGTGAGCATTAAATACCTCCAGATGCACTTCTGCACCTGAAAAGTGCACAAATAATGATGGCCGTTGACAATGTCTATATGAAAATCATACAAAATGTGTATTAAGTATTACAGATGCTTTTAAGTTTGTGGCTTTTAGATGTGAATAAAAATGTTGCTTTTCCCTTCTTAAACGGCAAATTCATTTCATATTTACTGTGCAACTACGGATCTCGGTACTCTTTACTGATGCGTTTTTCAGACATTTTACAAGGATTGGTTCCTTTGTCAGCTGTGGCATGCAGAGTTGTTCATTCAGTGCACGTGATCTTTTATCTGGAAAATAGTTTATAATGACTTAAAGTGTGTGGGTTTTCTTTAGTGGCCATGTCTAGTTCTTATTGGCATGTGACGCATTTAAATGTTGTATTTCTAAAGCATTTCATATGCACACTTACCTTCCAACTGCTGTTAAGAAATGCACTAATGTTGGAACTATTTCCTTGTGTGTGTGAAATGAACAAGCCGTTTGTTTTAATTTCAATTAAGGGGTGATGCACACCAATGGTCAACTTGACCAGTTGCTCTACTTGTTCAGAAAGCACAAGTGTTTGAGGTACTGTAGTTCGATGAGGAAGACATCAGGGATATAGAATGCTTGTGTATGCTCCTTTTTTGCATCAGATACTGGTTGGTAATCTTCATTAGGGTAGGGAAAAAATGGTAAATGTTGCCTTAGTTTGTTCCCCTTTCCTTGATGGTACCTTGTGTTTCAAAAGGGAAACGCCTCTCTTAAATCTGCATTTGTGATGCTATATGTTAGATATTTGAGGAGTGACGCTTGCTTTATGCTTTGATATTTTAGAGAAAATGCCTTCTATGCATGTGCTTTTTTGAGTTTGTCTTAAATTCTGTATGGTTTTGTGGACATTTTGCTGAGGTGATTGCTTGTTTGGTTCAGATATTATCACGGTGTATTAGTTTGAACCATATTAATTATTTCAGAAGGCAGTTTACCTAAAAACAGGTGGTGACTCCATACCTCGAAGAAAATCAGACCGTGTCGTTGTATTCAATAGCTTGAAGAGCAGTTTGAACCAAAGCTTTAAGTCTTATGCATTTTTATAGAATATTGCTGCATAGCTATTCATAATATATCTAAACATACATGGAATTGTTAAATAATAAAAAAGATGCAATAACTGCTGGAATAAAATGATGGTCCCTGTTTGAAGAAAACCACCACTTCCCTAAAACTATTACCGCTGGGTATCGATTCAGATGTTCCAATTTGTTTTTTTTTTTGCTAGCTCGAATTCGATTCGACTCAATGAATATAGACTTAATACAAATCTTATATTTATAAAAAAAAGAACAGTGAACATAAGTTCACAAGTAGTTAATTAATAAAAATAAATTAAATATATTAAACATTTTATTTTAGGTACACTTGGGTACAATAAAACAGAACCCAACTCTTTATTTCAAATGCATAAAATGAATAGACAGGATTTTGATGCAAGATGAAAAATGTATGCTGAAAGTCAAAACGGTTGCATGCATTGACCAAACAGGATCAGGTTATTTTATGTGTAAGATAAAACAAACAATCTCACAGCATTATCTGTAACGTGGAGTCTGCAGGCCTATGAACAATGTAGAATAACTAATACTGGCCTTTGGGTAATAGATAAATATGGGAAAAAAATAATTTGTGGCCTTTGATATAATCGATTTTGAATCGACCAAATTAAAAAAAAAAAAACATTAAATTGAAAATTTCATATTTTTTTGCCCAGCCCTAGAAACTATTAAAGGAGAAAAAAAATCAGAATCAGGTTTTCTTGGGACAGCGACTAAATGCAGTGCACTGTCAGTGAATTTAGTGTTTTAGTTTGTGTGCTTCTGAATGTTATCTGTTTGTGAAGACACTTTTCCTGTTTTCAATGAGCACAAGGCTGCTGCCATACTAAGAGTGCTTAGAATATGCTTTTCCAATAAATGTCTGGGGTGTACGACTTGTCCTGTCAGTCTTGCCAAGTGAGTATTAGTTATGAAGAAATGCGTGCTTTTCAATGCGCTATCGTTGAAGGGATAACGTTGAATGATTTAGCTGCAAGTAACGCTGCCTAAATCCATTTCTTTTAATGTGACATGATTGCTGATACAGTGATTTTGTTTATGCAAATAAATTGATGACCAGAAACTGATGTCTTGTGCTGTTTTTGGGTTGTTTTAATGCAAACAAAAGAGAAAAAGGACACATTTACAAAAATATGGTAATGTTTGAGCACTTTGATCAAGTCAGGTAAAATCTGGAAACAACAAAAGCATTTGAAATACATTGTTTTTTTCTCTCGAAGGTAAGGACAGCAGGGCTTCAGGTCTCTGTGGGCTGACTGTCAGTATTGGAGCTGTAGTCCACTCTTTCAAACAGTAGGATGGTTTCACAGTGCATGGTCTGAGGGAAGAGGTCAACAGCCATGGCTCTCATCGGACGGAAAGCGGCTCCTTTAACACGGTTCGAAGGAGCTCTACAGAGACTTTTAGACAAACAATTTATTCAAAAGGAGTAGGCTGTGATGTGCTAATTTCACTCTAAGTAATATAGTTCAATGGGAAATGTAGAATTACACCTTCAAATAAAGTGTAACCAAAGAAATTTAATGAGGTTTGTCACAAATCCCTCTCAAATTTCACCTTTTCCACTCAAACCACCTACATATGTAATAGTGATATTTAACAATTCAATCAATTTGTGATAGATTTGATGTCCCTGCCCTAAAAATTTACTTGTTATATCCTGTTTGACATTATGGAAGTAAAATTAGTTTGAAAATGCATTTTGTGTTGACTATAAATAGAAATTAAACTTACTCAATGAAATTGTTCATTGCTGCTTTGGCATTGCAGGCGACATAGACGAGTCTCTTCAGATGCTCGGCTCTTCTGATTGCTAGAATAACTTTGGAATCTGGTAAGAGTGATAACCTTGATTAAAACTTAAAAACACCACGTCTACAAGTTAAAAGCAGTAATATCAAGATACTACAAGAGTACTTTACGTACGTAGCCCTGCTCTCGGAGGATCTACGATTGCCGTGACGTTGGGGGACACCACAGCATTAAGAACAGTGGGTAACACATCTTCAGCCTTTCCACAGTGGAATTCCACATTGGTCAAGCCTGAAAATGTACATTTGAAGTCTGAGTAGATCATGGGAGATGAGATAGCGAGAAAAAATAGCACTCTGGCTTACCATTAGCTTCAGCATTAGCCTTAGCATCTTGCACAGCCTCCTGACACAATTCAATGCCAATCACCTTCTTCACCCTCTGTTAATCACAACACAGAATTTTGTATTTTTCTAAGAAGGCTAACTGATGTTCTGAGAACAGTTTTCTGTTTTTTTTGTGTGTGTATTTTTAGAAGCAAACGCCACACCTTTGCCAGTGAGATGCCGATGGTTCCTGTTCCACAGCACACATCCAGCACAGTACTGTCCTGGTCCAGTTGAGCCCATTCACCCACAGCAGAGTACAGAACCTCAGCAGCAGGTGTGTTCGTCTGGCAGTATCAAAATAAAAATCATAATATTGTAAACTTTTCATTAGCAATAATGCAGGACATTTAATCATATCCTCTACTTAACAGGGGTGTAACGATACCCTCATGTCACGGATCGATACATATCACGATACGATGTTATTGTAATGCACCAAGATATATGGTAAAAGGTTAACAAAAAATGTACTAAATTTGGTATTATATTGGGGTGGAAATAAATGGACTTAAAATATAGAATTATTTTAGACGAATATGCTTGTTACTATGCTCCTACTACTAATTATTCTGAATCACATACATGATGGCATAAGGAAATTAGTTTCCTAATGCTTTTTAACTATTGTAGCAGGGTTCTCGAGTTTTATTCTCAAGTTCAAAAGCTTGGAGTGAGATCACATGCGGTTAGAGGAGGAGCCCTAATGGACCCCCCATATATGAATATAACATATACATTTCATTTATAACATATAATTGGTAAATCTGATAAATGACAGAACAATACATCACATCAAATATACTCCTTAATGTTATATTTCAAATTTACAAATATACAAAAATATAACAAATTGCTCCAAACAGTTTAAAAAAAAAAATTGTTTTGCATTTTGAATGCGTCTAGTCGAAATGGTATAATGATTTATTGAACAAATGGACATATTAGAATACATGGTGTGAACTAGTTGAATTGCCAATGCGTGAGACTTGAGAACCCTGATTTTAGTGTAGTGTTAATCCTCAAGAAATTACCTGGAAGAATGAGTGAGGAGAAATGCGAAATTTCAGTCCGAGAAGTTCTTCGTGAATGCATTCTTCTCCGGTCACATGTTCACATGGCAGGTCCTCTGTACCCGCAGAAGTCCTGGGTAGATGCAAGTTAATAAATGAATGTAAAGTGCTCCAAAATCTAAATTAATCTCATTTTAAATTTTGGGGGGCTCACCTTTGTCCCATTCTCACAAAGTACAAAGATGTGAGGCCACTTTCTTTTCCTTCTCCTTCGGTAAAATACTGACGCAGGTTTCGTTTCAGTTCCTCAAGTTCTTCTTGGAGTTTCTAGTTTTTTTTAAAGAATTTTTTTTTTTTTTTTGAGTTTGATCGATTTATCAAATGAATGTCATAAGTGGACACAAAAATAACCACTGAATAAATCTCTGTTTTTTTTTACCTGTGGATTGAAGAAAACAATGGCCATGGTTTGCTTGATCCTGCTTGTTCGTACCGTCAGTTGCCGCCAATGACCTTCATAAGTCTCTGGACTGTATACTGCATATGGAGTGGTCCTGTTCAGGATAACACAAAAATTGAAATACATACACATTGGCTGATGTGTAATGCAGACATGGATTTCAACCTGAAACACCCTTTCAAAACAAATTTCACTGATAGGCCCATAACTATAATTAGATTTACACACATTAAGCAGTCAACAGTAAATTCATTCACCTGATGAACTGCTGGAACTCCTGCACAACCCTCTTGGCCTCAGAAGACACATGGGTGGTTTCTGATGGACTCACGACTGCACAGGATCCTCCTTTATACTTACCCAATCGAAAGCCCACAGTCTTATCCTCTCCATCTGCTCCCACTCCAATCACAAACTCACACTTATTCCTGTACTCCGTCTGCAAGTATAGGGTCTTTATTAGACAGTGACAATCACACTCAGTCATGTAGTGTAGTGATAAAGTGATAATAGTCATACTATTAACTTTAAAAGTTACATTAAATCAGTCAGAATGTACTAAATAAGCACCCGCGATCTGTAACCAACCATAGCAACAATACTTGGAATAAGCTGCTTGAGCGTGGTCCGTTAGATCCCTATTGGTCTCCCAAAGGCAAACCATAAGTAGCCTATTATCATTATTCATCACTTTATTGTAGATTTATACTAATTGTATTAAGCGTCTTTAATAAAGTTGGTGGTAAGTTAAATGTGCAAGGGGTGTGACAGAAATGTTAAATATTCAACCTTTCTGAATACCATTGAATAATTCTTACGCTGAATACAGTGGTAATGCCATGAAAGTTTATGAGTATGCGGATGATTTACCTGCACAGGTGATGGTCTTATGGCCTCGAGTGGGCAGCACATTTTGTTGTACTTCTCTTTTTGAACGAACAGCCAGGGAAGCATGGCTTTGTTGTTGTTGCCAATTTCTCTGAGAACAAGTATCAAGGAAGATAGTAGTATTGAAGGAACTTTTACTGACCAACCTAATTTTCTATATCACCAGAGGCACATTTTTTCTATTTTAAAAGAAATATCTGGCAGCCATTCATGCATATGCATGTCACCAACCCATCAGAAAATCAGAAATACCTGGTCAGTTTCAGGAGAACACCTTCAACTTCTTTTTCTTTCCTCTTCAGCTGTTCTTCATAAGGCACGTTCCACAAGGGCGTCACAGCATTGGCAATCTGGATATCGAGAGGCTCTTCCTCATCCTCCTCTACCTCTACCTCCTGGCCACCCGCAGCACGTTTTGCACCCGGCGGGCCACCTTCCGTTTCCTCCTCTTGCTTCCTCTTCTTGAGGATGGGATCAGCTTTGGGCTTTGCCAGCCGTACACTCAGCACTTTACTCTTCCATTGCATGCCGTGCACTGCCTTCATGGCCTTGTCCCTTTCCTCCTGGTTCTTAAAAGTGACAAAGGCAAACATCTGTCTGCTAAACAGCTTGATTTTGTGAGGATTAATCCCATGCTTGTTGAGGAACTTTTTCAGGTCATTAAAACCAATGTACTTGGGCAAGTTTTGAATCTCAACTTTAAAGATCTCTGAGGTAAAGAGATCTCCTCTGATGTAACGGTACACATCACTGGCTGCACCCTCTCCTTCTGCTGCTGTCGCCTCTGTCTGATTCTCTTCGTTTTTCTCCTCCATCAGGTCATCTGGTTCCTTTTCTGTGCTTGCTAATGAATCAGCTAGAACATTCTTGTCAACGGCAACATCTGTCATTTTGATCTGCATGAAATCCCAAAAGAATCTGCTTATTAGACCTTCAAATTCAAGAATCTGTTTTAGCAACGTTATGCAATGTGTTATGCTATAATTCACTTGAAACTAACCAAAATTTCTAGCTTCACCTACAATTATTATACATAGATTTAAGACATCATTAATTGAGAGACTACAATTGAATATTTGTGCTTTAAAAATTATTTTCTCACACAGCAG